GCTTAACCGACTGCGCCACCCAGGCGCCCCTATTCTTGTTTTTTTGTTTTATATATGAGTATTAGAATAAGGTTGTCATGTTAAAAAGAAGTCCTGTTGCCTTTATTTTTATTGGGCTCTCATTAACAGATTAACTTCAGGAAAAATTGGCATCTTCGTGGTGTTGAGTCATTCTGGCCAAGAACCTAATAAGCTTTTTTTTTTTTTTTTTATGTTTATTTATTTTTGAGAGAGAGACAGAATGCGAGTGGGTTGGGGCAGAGAGAGAGGGAGGCACAGAATCTGAAGCAGGCTCCAGGCTCTGAGCTGTCAGCACAGAGCCTGACACAGTACTCAAACCCAGATGAGCCTCAAATTCATGACCTAAGCCAAAGTTGGATGCCACACTGACTAAACCACCCAAGCGCCCCTCTCTGATTCTTTCTTTTTTAAATGATGGCCCTCCTACTAGGTGTGCAGTGCTATCTCATGGTTTTGATTTGCATTTCTCTAATGACTAATGATGTTGAACATCTTTTCATGTGTTTGTTGACCATCCATATATCTTTGGAGAAATGTCTGTTCAGGTCCTTTGCCCATGCTTTAACTGTGATGTTTGTGTTTTTGTTGTTGAATTATAGGAGTTCTTTATATATTCTGGATACTAGATTCTTATAAATCTATGATTTGCCAAAATTCTTTCTGTCTGTGGTAGTTTTTGGTCAATTCTTTTCTTTTATATATATATTTTAGGTATAGAATTATATTATCTGCAAATAGGGATAATCTTTCTTATTTCTTTTCAGTTTTATACTTCTATTTTTTGGGGGTGGGGGGGACTAATTGCATCTGCTCTTATTTCCAAAATATTGTTAAATAATAGTGGTAGTAAAATCTTTGTGTTCTTTACTTTAATGGAAATTAAGCATCATTGTATGGATTTACCATGGTTATTTAATTATACCTACACCGTGAAGCCCTCAGGTTGTTTCTGGTTATTCGCTGTTCGTAGCACTGTGGTGAGCACTCTTACATAAATCCTTAAATCCTTACTACAGTTGACGTTATTTGACATTATTTCCTTTGAATAAATTTCAAAGACGATACACATTGCCAAGTTGTTTGGGTATAATTTTATAATTTTATAGTAGATCACTTTTTATTGTGAGGAATGTACTGCACACTGCGAGATTCTCCTACTTTTCCATGCAAACAAGTAGAAATTTGTCCTTCCCTATTTCTCATCTCTCTCTGTTAATAGGAAGCAAAGGAAGAAGGTGTTCGGGCAGCCACAGAGGAATGATTTTAGCTTTTCTGAAATAAGCTTAGGTCATAAAAGCCTCGTGGATACCGAGTGAACTGCTCTCTGTGTCTTTAGAAGTTGGATCGGCAGGTTCCCTGGAGTGGGCTGGTGTGCACGTGGTGTAGGTGAGGTTGGATGAGTTGTGCTCACCTGTGACTGCGGCTGGGACAGGAACTTCACACCAATGCTTGCTGGTGATCAGATGGGGCCTAGGGACACAGATGAGAGATGTATGTCTGTTTCTTCCAGACAACTTGTCCTGCTGCAGAGGCTCATCGGGTGAACTTCTGTCACTAGGCTCCCGGCTCTGGAAGTGGACGGACACAAATGTGTGCTGTTCGAGCCGGCAGTCCTTACCAGAATGTTGGTATCCAGAAACTACGTAGGAGCTCTAATGCCATTCGTACTGAAGCCCTAATCTTGGGCCTTTCTTTTTCATACTTCTCTTGTGGTCTGGAATCTCAGTGTCTGGCTGAAATTGAGCCTCGTCACTGCTATTCCCCTAAGATTGTTCCTGGGATCTTTTCCTCATAAATATTTATTAGGATGATTTTGAGATTAGAGTGTCTTCCTGTGTTGAAGATTCTGAATGTAATTTGCTAGTGTTCCATGATCGTTACTCTTTGCATTTCCTTTAGTTTCAGATGCTCCATCAAGATGAATCAGATAAAAGGGAAAAGATGAAAACGAAGGGAGGTGACCTCGACGACGACCTGAGAGATGAAGTAGAAGATGCCGTCCAGAAAGTCTGCACCGCGACTGGGTGTTCAGTCAGTGTCTTTTTCCTGCAGTAATGGCGGCTAAACATGCACTGCCGGGCCTGGTTCACCTGCCAGTCTCGTAGAGCCAGCCTAGCGTGCCGACACCTGAGGGGCCAAAATAGGTTCATGACTTGTAGGTTCATGGCCTGGTTAGGTTCAGTGCCAAGAGCTGTTTATTCATTTTTCTCTTGTTTGCTACACTTTACCCAGTAATACTGCTCAAAATCCTAAGAAGTATGTGGATTTTTTTTTCCTCTGACCAGTGTTTATGCTAGTAAAAGTGCAGTTTTCTAAAGGAGTTCATTTATATTAAAGGGTTATTTCTGGTGGCCAGCTTTGTTGAAAATTAAGACCTTTTTTAAATGGAAAAGGTCTTCCGACCATGCCTCAGGTCCCACCGTTACATCATTTTATGTATGCAGTTGGTGGAAGGACGTGCCCAGTCCTAAGTGTTCCTTTGTTTCTTGGATAGGATTTTAACCTGATAGTCCAGAACCTGGAAGCTGAAAATTATAATATTGAATCTGCAATAATTGCCATGCTTCAGATGAACCAGGGGAAAAGAAATAGTAAGTCCATGATTGATATTCATAAGCTTTCAAGCTGATTACATTGGTGATTTTCCAAACATTTAATTTTAATCAAGTCACAGGTGGTAATTATACTGTCATTTGTTCATTCACCAGCAGTTGTTTATTGAGCACTTTCTACACATGGGCACAATTTACTAGATCCTAGCCCTGCATCAGGGAGAAGGTAATCTGGGGTCGAGGCGGGGATGGGGGTGAGAAGTAAGTAAACTGATATAATAAACGGATTGGAGTGGTGTGGGTGCAGGGTCCCAGGGGAATGCGTGAAAAGGCCACTTAACCCCGTCGTGGCGGGATGCACAGTGTCAGGAAGACTTTGTTCTTTTCGAAAGAATCCCTTATGAAACCAAAATGATAACTGAAATAGAATGGAAAGAAAAATTAGTTACTTTTCTGATGGAAATACTTAGATTACTACCATCTATCAACTGGTGATAAATCAGAATTTTTTTTTTTTTACTTGAACTGGGTTTAATTCTGTGACTCAGAAGAAGGAAGAAAGGATGTGGAGTCTCACTGTTTCTTCACATTAATTACTTAAAATGATTTCAATGCATATTGCCAGATATGTGCCAGAGACTGCTCCTGGCAGTACAGCCGTCTGTGTGATTGGACATTTTATCATCCTCTCTGTATATTTGCTGTGCTTTCTTAGAAAGCCGTAAGTAACTTGGTCTTTGCGACGTTACGACAGTCGTGTGTGGTGCCTGTGCGTGTAGTGTGGTGTGTGCTTGACATGTGTGGCTGAGACCAAGGAATTAAAGTTTGAACTTTATATAACTTTAATTAATTGTAATTGAATTTTATTTTTTTCAGTGTTTTAAAATTTTTATTTTATTTATTTTGATATAGAGAGAGTGACAGAGAGAGTGAGCAGGGGAGGGGCAGGGGCGGAGAGAGAGAATCCCAAGCAGGCTCTACGTGCTAGCATGGAGTCCTTACCTGGGGCTCGAACCCACAAACTGTGAGATCATGACCTGAGCAGAAACCAAGAGTCCGATGCTTAACCAACTGAGCCACCCAGGCACCCCTAATTAATTTTAATTTAAATGGCTAAAAGTGGCTGGTGGCCTCTGTATGGGACAGCACAGGTTTAGAGCCTGTTTCTGGTTTTTGGGTGCAGATGAAAGCTTTCCCCCTAAAAACACATGTTAAAAAGTGGCTTAATCTAGTAAAACACTGTGCAGGTGGGAAGCCAATGATAAGGCTGGTCAGCAGGTTATTTTTAAATTTATCTTCCACATATTACCAATTATTTCCCCCTGTATTCCCCATTGTATTGATATTAGAATTTTGCTTCAAGGAAACTTGCTCTCCACACACAGGTAATTTCGGAGTCATTTAACAGTGTACGTTGTTACGCGTTGTGTAACGATCTCAGGTTCGTGATTTTAATAAAAGGTCTTTCTTTGGAAGATGCAGAGGAGAACCTAGAGTCCGGCGGCCGCGTGCCCAAGCCATGCGACCCTTTATGGGAGGAGGGTGGCAGTGGCACGAGAATCTTTGGAAGTCAGGGCTTGACTGAAGGCAGGACTGAAAACAGTAAGGAGCGGGCCAGCCCGAGCGAAGACAGCAGAGCAAATAGAAACCAACTCCCTAAGGTATGAAAAACGGGGCTGCATGGGCAGAGGGTGGGCTGCTGTCGTGCAGGGGCAGGGGCAGGAGCCCGGAGCTCATTTTAGTGTTTTCTTTCGATTTTTAAAAAGTAGTCATTGTAGCAAACGGGTGGGAGCATAAGGGTGTCTCAAGAAGCAGAACGAGGACCTTGCTTGTCCGGTTTGGTATGTGTGGGGATTAGAGGTACACCCTGAAGTCCTACTGTGTGTGTGCACGTAGAGCCCTACAGCCTGCCTTCCCTGCACAGTGTCACTGTGTGCCTGCGTGCTTCCGTGGTAACCCACATTGTAGGATTCCCTTAAATGCTGTCATCTTTAGTGGAAAACTCTGTGTATAAATCTTTGTATTTTGCATTACTATTCGTGTGTGTGTGTGTGTGTGTGTGTGTGTGTAGAGTGCCAGAAGAGGAATGGACAGGTTAAAGGGTATGGATATTTGAATCTTTATAAGGCTTTTTGATGAATTGTCCAATGCTTCCCAAAAGGGTGGTACATCCCCCTCCTGCAAGTAGTATATGGCACCATTCTTTTTACTGAATTTGGAATTTATTTTAAAGACTTCCACCAAGCAGTTCCGAGCTCAGAACGCAACATAATGTAAAAAGCCACAGGCAGAGGTAAAGATGCACTAAGCTTCTGAGGATTTTGTGAGGATTCCCTGGGGCATTAAATTATGCAGAGAAAGGTGTCCGATGGCATGTCTGAGCGTCAGCTCGTGCAAGGACCAGGGTTACTGTTTCTTAGGTCACTGTGAATTGGATGAGGAGGAGAATGGAATTGATTTCATTTGCCAGCTCAGCGAGGGGACAGAAACTTCAATGGAAATTTGAGCAGTGATGGGAAATACATCAGTTCTGGTCTGATCGGTGGGTTTTCTGTGTTCTTGCTGAGAGGCGGTGTGTGCCCCCTCTCTCCGTCAGTCAGCCCCGTGTCTGCCTTCGGCAGGGGGTCGCCGTGCCGGCAGCTCACCTGCCTTCTCTTTCAGGTCACCAACAAACAGAGGAGGGAGCAGCAGCGCCTGGAGAAGAAGAAACGACAGGAGGAGAGGCACCGTCACAAAGCCCTAGAGAGCAGGAGCGGCCACAGGGACAGCAACCGGAGTGAAGCGGATGCCAACACGCAGGTCACCTTGGTGAAAACCTTTGCCGCTCTCAACATCTGACTCCCCGCCCCTCGGGGAGATGTGAGAAGCGAGCGGAAGGTGGAGTGCCGTGTACCAGGCTTTCCGAGCAAGGCCCACCTCTCACAAAATGAAACACAACCCACAGAGCTCTCACACGAGCTCACGCACTGACTTAGTTTCCTTCAAGCTGCCTCTTTTTTGCGCAGACTTTTGTTAGTGATGTGTTTTATTTTATGGAAGTTCAGCGAAGCCATTCGTGTTCTGTAATTAAAATACCGAGTTCTAGGGTTGGATAGTTAGTCCAGGAAAAACCTTTTAAGTGTGGTTTCATTTGCCCCCAAAATCAGAGTTCAGTGACCCTGGGATTTTTCCTTAACACTGGGGTGAGGTTTGCTGTAATTGTTCATGAAGTAGTTTAGATTAATTGCTAGAAATCCAGAATGACAAGTTTCCTTCGTGTCTCTTTCATTTTCAAGCAGATATTCACATACGGGGTAGTTTATAAACGGTCTCCAACTCAGGAACACGTTTAGATTTAATTTTCTACTAATCCAAGTTAATCAGAAATTAATTCAGGAAGTATTTTCCCAAAGTAATAGGACATGAGAGGGGCTGCAGCCTGTAGTCAGGGTGGAAATTAAACAGCTGCTTCTTCCTGATTCTGATGTTCTTTCAGATGGGATGCGGGTGCTGTGAGTTTGTTTGCACTCAAGCCACATGATAAATATGCCCGACTGTTAATTAGGCCTGGACCTTGCTGGAGAAGCGATGACGTTGTTGAGTTTTTGGTACGTGTTGCGTGACAATCAGAAGGTGGCAAGTCGCTGCTTATGATGTAATTCTGAGATTCTGATGGTCGGGATGGCAGAGGCCGTTGTTGTAAAGGGAAAGAAATCAAGAGATTCCTGAGTCTTAAGGAAGGGTCTAAAGAGTTCCCTGGTTTTGTAGGGGCAGAAGGTCTGGAAGAATAACTGAGGTTTTTCAGGTTCGCATTTTAAGTGATGTATTTTCTTCCTTGCTATGCTAGACTTGGATGCCTTCAGAGAAGTCGTTTGACCTGTTCAGTTTTCTCAGTACTGTGAAAATGGACTCCCATGAGATGCTGTATCTTCCTTTCCATTCAAGCCCTGTTTGGGATTTCGATGTTGGGAAAGCTCTCCAGTGCTCTAGTAATTGTCAGTGACCTAGGTTCACCCAACAGGGCAGAGGCCATTGAATGACTCCACACACAGTTCTTATGTGGAGAGAGGTCATTCCTAAAACTGGTAGATGGATGTGAACTCTCAAACCGTAATGTCTGAAGTGGCCGGTGGTGGACAGTCCTTGCCTTTTAGCGACCCGGCATTTGGACGAATAAAATCTGCTGAATCAAAAGGTAAATGAGTTACTTTTCCGCTCAGATTTCAAAATTATGTAAGTTCCAGGGAGAAGGGAAAACCATAAAAATGTTTTGGCCGTACAGATGTATCATCGTCTGGGCTGGCCCTGGATTCATTGAATCGTCTTTATCAGCAGGTGATTTGTGTCCTTCGGTTGTAAGGATGTGTTTTAATTTTTTGTTTGTTTGGTGACTTTCTGTAGTTGGAACATCCATCAGTAGTTTCCTGGAATCGCTCTCAGGACATTGCCGTTTGGGCTACTTCCTGGTACGGTGCATTGTAGTATTTAGCAGATTTAGAAATGGGTGCAGCATTTTTTCTTTGCACGTTGCAGAGTTCTGAGTGTGAAGTCCAAACAAGTGAAGGGTCTCTGTCGCCTTACCATTTCCAAGAGCGTGAGATCCAGTGCTGAAGGATCTATTGTTCTCTTGGTTTTTGAATCTGGACCCCGTCCCGACTGTGGCTGATCTTTTCTCAGTGAATGCTCTTTCTTGTCTGTCTTGTATGGCAAGAGTGCAGGAGAGCAGATCCTCTCTGCAAGAATTGAAATCATGTACCAGAAACTCAGCAGAATTAGGAGTCCGAAATAGCTTAAGGGATACCCTTGTCAGAAGCAGTAGAATTGCTTTGTATACCTGGTTAATGAAGGTGGCCTTGGGCCCTACTGGGTTTTAGAAGTTTTACTAGAAGCTGCGAAAAAGTTACTAAGGGATACTGGGCACCCTTATATACACGTTACCAACTTCTGATAATAGGCTTCGGCATTTCTGGGGTAAAATAACAGTGGTTTTAAAAACCAATCGTATGGCTTTGGTAATTTTCTTTTATTACCATTTCATAGTTTTCCAGTTAAAATTGGTCTGTGTTTAATCAGTTAATTATTAGGAACGGGGTACGTGCATCCGGCTTTAGTGAACTCTTCTAGCTAGGGGTTTGAACTTAAGACTTTCTGCCTCGGTCTCACTGAAGTGTGAGGTAATGGAATCCATACACTTAGTTGCTTTGTTGACATTTGAAAACTACGTTATCGGCAGCCTGGATGGAGGTGCAGACGTGGGTTTAGTTCTGGGAAGATACCGTCGGTGGCTGTGCCCTAGTATGTTACTCACGTGCACCCCATGTTAGGAGGTACGTCTTTCTGAGTCTCTGTGTTACATCTTGGCTCTTAGAGGTTTATATTACTGCGGGTTGTCTCGGTAGCTTTTAGGGAGGTCGGAAGAAAGGGGATGAGGCAGTGGTCTGTAGCTGCTTACTAGTCTTATAAGCTGTATATAAAGGTTTTATGGATTTTAAAACGATTTTTTTTTAAAGGTCAAAATAAGAAATAAAATCTCAGTGGCAACAGCTTTGTACTGGAGAGGTAGGTGTATTAAAACAACATAGAACCATGTGTTCTAGATAACATAGTTGCCATCAGGAGATATTAGAGAGAGCTCCTGTGTGTATTTAACCTTTCAGTAGTGTGAACATTCGCTTTCAGGAGCAGAGCCTGGTCGAGGGATTGTGGCAGAAAGAAGGATCGTGGATGTCAGCTGAGGCTGTTGCCTGTAGTTCCTTTTATAAGCTCTGAAAACCCTCCCAAACCCATTTTGATCCCGAGGGCTTATGAAATAGGGTCTCCGTGTGGGGCAGCTCAGGTGGGCGCCACGGGAACCTTCGAGTAGGTCAACTGTAGTGCTCTGCCTTGCCCCACCCCCCGGGGTTTACAATGTGAAATGGCACGGTCCTGGGGCGGGGAGGGCCGTGCTGAGAGGGGGAGCGCCGGTCACACGTTAGGTAGGTAGGTATCAGATGGACTTCGGCATTGAACTGTGCTCGTAGTGAGTCCCTGTCGTCCATGTGCAATTTCTCTCATTCTGAGAAACTCTAGACTCTGCCTGGGTTTTACTGGGTCAACATAGAATGCTGTCAGTTTACCTCCGTGAAATGTTCGACTCGAATATGCAGTCGGTGACGGGAAACTTGGATTTTTGTCAGAGTTGACTAACAGTCTTCCTGAACGAAAGGGCCTTTGTGGGAGGGATGAAGGTGGTTTCTTGGTTTCCGTGTGTCCCCTCTGTGGCCCACTCTGACTCTCATTTTGGGCAGACACGTAGCTCTTCACCTTCACCTTCACCTTTTTACCTCAAGGCTCTGTCTGTAGCAAACATTTAGATTCAGAGCCTGACGCGCTTTTCTGTTTTGCCGTCTTCGTTATTCACCAAGTCGCCCATCTCAGCTTTCAGAACAGGTGTTGCTAAAACTGTGGGGCCTTCCGACAGTTGTTCTGAGGTGATTTAATGATGGCACTTTTTACGCGGTGTGTTTTCCTGACTCCAGAGCAAATTGTATTTTTCCACCGACACTGAAGCGAGGATCTTCTAGGTTGTGTATTTATGGCACGTCTTCTGCCGTCACATACCAGAGGGGGACACGGACCACCCGTGTGAAGGGGAGATGGTGATCCCTGGTCGCAAAGTGTTGCATCGCGTGGGGCGCTCCCTGCGGGCCGCCGGGCCCTGCTCCGGCCCCAGCTAGCACTCCCTGTAACCTCAGGCTCTTAGCCACCTCTTCTAAACTCGCTTTCTGGTCTCTCTAGCCTGGTTAGGGGTACTTCGTAGCTTGGAAAAATCTTTAGCATGCTCGCAGAGTTCCTTCGCGAGGGGCTGCTGTCCGTGAAGAACGTCCCTGCAAAAGCATGAACTTCCTGCGCGGTGGCTCTGTTTTCAGCAGGGCCTCCCCGGGATGCAGAAGTACCGCCCCCTGTGGTTGTCGGGGGAGGTGACGGTCCCTGGGCAGAACCGCTGTGATCCGCTCGTGCGCGTGTTGGCAGCCGGTGGGTCACCGTGACCGGCCGTCCGTGACCGTCACCGAAGCTCAGTCAGAAACCTCGGCCTGTGGTTGGATCCCCGGGCGGGTCCCGCGGCCAAACCCTGAGGAATGCCCGTGTGGGGCTGCTCGCGTCTTCCCACTCTCGTTCATTTCCCCTGGCGGGAGGCGCCCTCGGCCTCCCCGGCCACCCTTCCAGCAGCCTCCATCGGCACCGAGCTCAGCGAGAAGAAGGAGGTTGCCTGGAGGTAGACTTCAGACCCGCGCGCGCCTCTGGGCGCGAACCCCCTGGTGAGGGAGGGCGGGTGTGTCTGGAGAGCATGGGGGCCTTGGCAGGCTCAGGAACCTTCTCGTTTTTCTAGTTGCACTGTACTTGTTCTAGCTTCAGTCTGGAGATACTTAAGACCTCCATGGGGTCATGATCCATAGACTTAGCAAGTCTTGCCTTATCTATGGAGCTCGACGGGGAGATGTGTGACCACTGTCCACTGTCCATAGTTCCATTTCCTCGCGGTTGTCTCTTTCCACAGATTGTCTTCATCTGAACCATTGTATTTTATTTTTTTACCAAAGTACTGTACTTGGCTATTTGCAGTGTTTTCAAAACCAAATGTTTCCTTTTTTTTGTGTTTTTAATCTTCAATACTTGGTGCAATAGAAGCTGCAAAGATGTGCCACTTTATCTACGACGTGGGGTTTTGTACGCCAATAAATTCTAGTTTAAAGACAAAGCTTCGTGTTGTTTTTGCCGGTCTGACCACCGTTCGCGTGCGTGAGCCTGAGGGAGCCTGGCAGGAAGCGGCCTTTCGGAGACCTTTGCCTGGAAGACGGGAGGGGACAGTCGTTTGGGGA